GGCCGGAGTCAATGTCAGAAGAAGTTTCTGGACTGATAGGCCACGGCCCAGTTCGTGTTGAAACTTGGTACTGTGGTGAGTTTTCGTTGGCATTTACGATGAAATAATTATATGAGTCGTCATTGCCACCAGTATTGTTGGCAATGACGACTCATAATTATTTCGCGTTGGAAGGCCACATATGATTATTTATGATAGTTTTTTCGCCCCTCGAGTGGCTCATGGACAGCCGGCTGGCATTCCTTAGTGCGGTCCCGGGATCCATTTCGGGCCGGCGAAACTAGAGCCGTAGCTATCTAATAGAAATGTCTGTTTCTATAGCTGTGCTCAGGCAGGCCAAGAATGTTAGATTGGGAGAAATGGGAACGCGCCATGCTTGCTAGATGTTTCCCCTCCCCCAGGCTTGGTTAATAAATTATAACAGGGCCGAGGCCTGGGAACACCGTTAGCTCGCAAACGGCGGATTACATTACCTTTCAATTCGAATTATACCAAACGAACAATTAAACTCCATACAGATAATCACCATGTTATTTCAATTGGAAATTAAATTTCACTTAAAAAGACTGCGTGTTCCAAGCTGCGGTTCTTTGGGGGGGGGGAATCTTATTTAAGTAGCTATATATAATTGCAGCTGCGTCCACGTACGACTGTCAAGACGACAGCATTCTGAAAACAGTTTCAAATACCAGAATATCCACTTTTCTCGTATCAGGTTTCAAAGCATACTCGCATGTGCGCCCGCCAGCTTCGTGTGCAACCTTCGGACACGTAACTTCGACATTTTTTATCCTCTTAATTTTGTCACCGAAATTTGCCAAATGTTCAGAAGGTATTTCAGATCCAGAACATGGCAAGTTTTAATGTTTGCCGAAAGCAATATCAGCGACGCATGGGGCCTCTGCCAAAACAGACTAATAGATACCTGATTTTTGGAATGTTAGGTGTTAAATTCATTTCGGTAAGGGTCATTCCAAATGAACAAACTGTATCTATTAATCGAGATTGGAAGTTCCAAACTTCCACTGATGACCGCATGAAAATTATTATACTGAATATAATTTAATACGGGTATAGAACCGCTCAGTTAATATTGGAAAGTCTTAAAAACCTCGTTAATTTAGGACTTTTATTAAATCTCTTTCCGAGGACAATTGAAAATAGCAGGTCTGATAGCTAGGTTTACGTGGTTTCTCCGATATATACCAGAGCAGTACCCTAACAAACGGGCCACGGGCTGCCCACGATCTTCCCTTCCGCCTCCTCTCCAATCGTTCCCCTTTCTTACACGCTCTCCCATAAACAACACTTCTACATATGTCGGGAGTCCAGTCGAAAGCCCAGATGTTATAGCAGTGCCCCTGTGAAGGACATACCAAGAGGGGGAAATCCTCGCAAGATGACGTCGATCGGCCCTGGATGTCATTCCTAGCGGAGAGGAGCGCCACCACAAGCACTACACTTACGAGTCAGTGACTATAGTAATTGACGCAATCAAAAACACTTAATAATCAATAAATCAATGAAGTCAGGCAAGTTACCAGGCGAGTCCTCTGTTACGGTAACATTTAAAAAAATGCATTTGAGGTCGCTATTCAAACACTAAGTCATATAGCGACCACTGTAAGTAACATTGGGAGTAACGGCATACGGACAGACACTAAACTTCCATGCCCCAGGCGGGATTCGAACCAGCGACCCTATCAGGCACGAGGCAGTTACGGCTCCTCAGCCTTAGCGACCTCGGCTACCTAGGCCAGCAAAGCGTTTTTTTGTTTATTTCATATATTTCATTAGCAATCACTATTGCATTTAACGGTATTGTAACTGTGTTATGAAGATGTGATATGAACTGTGAAGATGACATGATATACAGATGATAAGGGGTGAAATGTGAAAGGACGAACACACATACAACCATGCCCGAGGCGGCACTCGAACCCGTGATCCATCGGTCCCAGATCGCTTCGGCACTACTTCCTTAACGATCTCTGTCATCGGGACCGGCAAAAGCATTTCGTTCGCTCCGTTCTAACGCGCTTGCACGCAAAACCGCCTGCTCGCATCCTCGCCCACTGTGCCGCGGCGGCTGCGCGGGCGCGCAGGCGGAGGCGGAGGCGGAGGCGGCGCCATCTTCGCCGCGCGACGGCCGCCACTTGCGCTCAATTGCGCGCCCGCGGTGCGGCGGAGTCCCCGACCGGCCAAGGGCACGCGGCGGTGACCTGCGCCAGCCCCGCGCCGCGAGGGGCAGGCAGCGCCGCGAACCCAAAGCTAGAGGGCATTCGCACTGGGGGCGGCTCTACGCTACACCGTTACGTCTCTATGAAGCTCGCCCCGCAACAGCGTTTGCTCACGTGGGCGCCCGCGATCGTGGGTATGTCCAATAATTGTACCCGTCGCTGCTTTCCACTTACCCAACGTCGCTGACCGTTCTCCTCAGTCTTGAGGATTACGAAATATAACTCTTAAATTTCCAAGAAGAAGAAAGTATATTGTTCGCAAGTTCTGGATATGGCTAATCAATCGGCAAACCTGCGTTCGCGATTATTTTGTTCTCTATTTTTGAGCCAGCTATTAGTCTTAATTAATATCTCCCTCAGGTTTCGCTAATCCTCTAATCACTTTAAGACAATATAAGTTGGGTATCTGAACTAGTATTTTACTTTGAAATCCACGACATAATCGTCATGCGGCCGTCTGTCTCGAATTCTAGCCATCGACAATCAAAATGAACTTTTCTCCATAGCAATCCATTACATGACTCAATTGTTCGTTCCCTAACGAGTTGATACTCGCTTTCAAAGTTCTATTTTCATTTCGTAGCATACGCAGAGGGAAACTGTGATTTTAGCTCCCTCCCCCTTCCCTTCAAAAAAATATAGTTTTTATAATTTTAAAAAGTTTTTAATGTTGGCTCGAGCTTGTTTGATAATTTCGTGAGTGTCAACTGCTATGGTCGTTAGTCCCGTGGGTGCATGTTTTATCACGAAAGGTGGCTATGTTGTTCCCTGGTGGATGATGAGATCCGATGCCGGATGTACAGAGTGATTCTGCTGGCAGGTGGAGAAAGTAATGTCCTACTTTGGGTTATCATGAGTAGCAACCGCGAATAGAGAATCAGATGTCACATAAAACAACTTCAGTCCCTCGAAAGACTTCCAATGGGAATTTGACTGATTTGGGGTTTATTGGCTTTTGCAGGGTCTGCGTTTGTCCATATTTGGCATGCGTAATACACTGGTGGCCTCGTATCTGTAAACATGATACTTTTGTGTACGAGAGAGAATTGTGTTTGTTGATGCTACAGTGTAGCTAGTTAGCTTCTCTTGCCATTTAGCACACTATGATCCCATTTCCCTTGTTGACCACCTCTAACATCAACCATTCGCTGTAAGGTAATGAGCAGCGTGTCTCCACGACGGGACCGAATACGACATCATCTTCCTTTCACTTGCGGTACTTGGGTGATACCAAACAGTATCATATTCCAACCTATCAAACATATGAATATCAAACATTTTGTAATATGATTCGCTTACAATACTATAGCATTCCCGTTCATGGCATGCTAATTTAGGTACTTACAAAGAAATGGTTTCTAAAAAAAGCTCTTCATTCTTAATATTTATTTGTAGACATTATCTTAAGACTCAGCGTCAGGAATGCTTCTTTCAAACAAACACTCGTTTTGCTGAAAACATAAAACTCAGTCAGCAGCATACATTCGCCTACTAAATCGTCCGTGTGGTGAGTTCGAAACGCTGTGCGTATGATGAATATTTATGAAATGATGTAAAAAAGTGTGTTTTGCATATGCAACATGTAGGAAACTGCATCGTAAACGAGATGCAGAAAAAATACTGCAGTTATCGCCTGTAAATGTAGGTTCTTAACTTCCATGAAATCGATTATGAAGGCGAATTAGAAAGTGATGATATTCATCCAAGTCTTCAATTTTTTAAACTTTTTTTTCAAAGTTTCTGAATAACTCATTCATGAATTTCGTGGCAACAATTACGATGGACGTTATCTTATTTTATGACGAAATGTCTGCATTTTAGAAAAGGTGTACATTTTTTTCTTTTTTTACAGGGAAAGCTGCTGATCTGGCGATGGCGGTATGGTTTGAGAGTGGAGTAAAATTGAAATCGGTAAGTTATCACCAAATTCTGCAATAATTATTTTTATATTTTTGTGCTCTCGAGAGACTATACAATTACATCGAATGAAATAATCTTGTGGGCGAAGTAGGAATGCAATTCGGTTTGGCAAGCGAGAAGAGCGGTTTTTTCCGTATTTCTTTCATTGTTAACTGTAAAGTAATGTTCTGAAAGTGAAAAAAATGTGACATCCACAAGTCATGAGAATTGACGGCGTTCAATTTGAAAAAAGTTTCCTGTAAAAGTGGATGTTTGAAATATAAACATTTTAGAGTTAATTCATCTTTATGTATTAATTAACTATTAGTTGTATATTTAAGATGTATTTGCAACATTTACATAAATTTCTTGAGTAAGATACGTGTGCCAAGAGTGTTAAATTTCTTTTTGTTAATCTACGAAAGAATTTAAATGAATTTGAGTGTTAAATTTTTGAAACTTTTTTATTTCAAAGTTTCTGAATAATGTGTCAATGAATGTCGTGTCAATTACGTAAAACGTTGACTTATTTAATGGCGAGTTAACTTTTTTTTTTCATGATTACATCCTTATTTCTTATGATAACATAAATGGGTAAAAAACTAGTCGTATGATAGTGTATTTTGACATTATGCTCAAAGTAAATCTGGGATCAACTGTAAATGTAATGTGGCCTTTTCAGAGACTGCATCATATTTTACGTGAGTAGTAAGAAGAGCACGTAATTATAACGAACCTCAACGCCACTGCGCTGCCAGGGGAAATGAAACGCCGCCTAACAATGAAGCGCAATCACAAAAACGAGTTGCGTAACGGCGCCACGGCAATATGCACCTAACGGGTACGAAACGATGGTTTCATATGGCACACAGGGCCCGCGGCGCGGCGCAGCGGTTGCAGCAGCGTCGGACGGCGCCGCCGGGCACTCGCGCGCGCTCGCGCGGCGGCCGCGCGAAGCAGCGCGAGTGGGCGGAGGGGGCGAGGGTGGGGGAGGTGGCCGAGGTGTCGCCGCGGCTGGGGAGGGGGGGCGGGGCGGGCGGCGGTGGGCTGAACCAGACACGCGTGCCCAGTAGCTGGGACACGCCCGGGTCAGTGCACTTTCGCCTGCGCTCCCCGCGGGGACGCACGGCGGCGCGTGCGGCGGAGGCCGGTCGCTCTCCTGGCGAGCGCTGCCTGGCTGCCTGGCCGGCCTTCCTCGCCGGAGAGGAGAGGAGGAGGAGGAGAGAGAAGCCAGGCGAGGCGAGAGACACCGCGCCGCGCAGGCCGCGGGTTCATTGCCCGCCCCGGAGCCGCTTCGACCACCGACACGCGCATCGACGCGCCGGCGTGGCGGCGGGCCGCCCGGGGCGAGGGGCGTGGGCGAGGTGTTGGCTCTCGTGACGTCGGGTCGGGGGCAATGGGGTTGGTGGACGGCGGGGCCACTGTGTTGCTGAGAGTGGCGGGGGTGGTGGCAGCAGGGGTGAGACGTATGAATGGTGATTGCTGATTGTGGTAAGGGCGTAGGTGTCGGTGTGGGGGGGAGGGCTCAGTGTTTTCTTAGTGCGGCGGGGGGGGGTGGTCTGGGAGTGGGGTAGACTTAGTGGTGACGCTAGTGGGTGGTGCGTCTGATTGTGGATCGGCGTCGCTGTGGGGGGAGGAGATTTGAGTGGGGAGGGTCCAGGCCCGGGGCGCTGCTGTCGGTGGAGGCGGCAATGACGTCGGAGGTCGCGTGGAAGGGGGCCGACGATGACGATGACTGGTTGGAGTGGGGCGACGTGGCGTGCGTTCAAATGGAAAGTGTTTGCGTGTGCATGGGAGGAGGCAATAGATGAGAGCGATGTATCACGTTTTAAATGGAAATTGGGCGACCTACGGTACTTTCAGCTCGACAGGAGCAGCACCTGTTAACATTCCTCTAACTTGTAAAATACTTTAAACAAACGTGTCGTCTGTTCGCAAAGTAGTGCAGTTTCAAAATTATATTTTATTTCTTGCAATATTGTTTTCTTAGATCAAATTCTATATTTTAAAGGATTATACTTAATCAATCTTCTTCCCTTTGGGAACACACAAACGCGTAAATGTACTTGGCATGATGAGAAAATTAAACAATGAGATATGAAATTGTACCGTCTCTGAGAGCCCTATTTAACATATCACACGTTCTCAGGATTGGCTGGCTTCTCAGCGAGTTGTAGAAAATGTCTTGGTAAACTCTTGTGGAAGATATGTGTATAAATTTCTGGAGCGAGACAAGAAATTAGAGCGAGTCATGGCCGTGCTTAACGATTGTTAGCGAGTGCTGCTGACAATCCTCATCTGACAGTGAGGGTAGCCTTGACCGTCGTTTCATGTTTTACATTACATTTGCTCCCTTTTTGTGATATTCAAAATTGTGGTCTGCCGAGAGTTCTTCTCAAAACAGTCTGAAACACCTGTAAATAGTTTATTATTTTCAAATTTCCCAACTATATGTAGAATACCAAAACTGTATACATATATTCAATAATGTATACATTTAAAGGCTCTCAGTGTTCCTTACTACCCACAGTGGGAGATTTTTATTCACTAAAACTAAACCTCATATCTTCTTCATCCTCTTCGCGGAACTACCGACAGGTATTACATCGCGGAGAGCGGAATAGTGACCCAGCCACTGTGTGTGTGTGTGTGTTTACATGTGCGTCTAAAAGAGCAATGAAAATATATTTTCGCGTAAAATTTATTGCTGACCTTTTCTCTTCCAACATAATAGACGTTTCTGGTAGTAAAAACTCCCAAATTCAGTGGTGATGAGCTTCGGAAGTTAGTAGTTGCTCATATTAAAGGACTGCTGTCACAGACCGCTGAATATAAGTAAATTTTCAGCCGAAAAGTCAATTAAGCTGTTTGTAAACATTTGTTTTATTCGATTTGCGTCTGGTATATTATACTTCGAGCAAACTTGGATGGCCGAGGTGGGTAAGAGCATGTGCCGACCCGATGATTCGGTCCAAAGGTTCGCGGGTTCGAGTCCCGCCTTGAACATGGTTGTCCCTTGTAATTCATGTATGTGTTATCACGAAGGGCCTCGCGTTCAGCCGACCCCCGATCAGAGGAGCACGCTAATGTGTTGGTGTCTAGTGTAAGGTCAAATATGTATGTCTCATCGCGATGTAAATGGTAACCGAATGACGGCTGGATAAAAGCCAAACAAAAAATGATGCTTCGAGCGGAATTTAGACATTTCATTTGAGCCAACCTTCATTTTGATAGCAGGTCTCTAAGCTTCTTTCTTCCGGCAAATCTTAAACTGAGTGTAACCATTACTGACTTTATTACTTCATGTTTGTCATAGAATTGAAAGAAATAGAATCTTCAAATCTTTTCCACACCTTACTACTGTTTTCAGTCGTATCATTATTTTGTCTAATGCACTTATAAACATTTATACACTTGTCTGTCGTCATTTCAACACATGGCTGATTAATTTCGTATATTGCACTAACGCAAAATACGAGCAGCGGAGATTGTTTTTCTTTTTTGTTGATAAGATGTTTCGGCAGAACTCACGGCGACCGCTTGATGTTCTTATTGGTGAAGGTGAATCCTTTTTGCGAGATAATAAATGAGTAGGTATTGTTGTGGGACTTGTGTGTTCAGGCCGTAACTGTGAAACCATTTAAATCTACCTAAATTCCCAAGTTACTTTCAAAATTAATATTTGGTTTACCAAATTTCTTCGCCTAGGAAAGAATGAAAGGAAATGAAAACCGGTGGCCGTCGGCCGACCGTCGTTATTTATGATATATATATATATATATATATATATATATATATATATATATATATGTATGTATATATATATGTATGTATATATATATGTATGTATATATATATATGTATATATATGTGTGTGTTTATTTATAATGTTATTTATAATGAGTTAAAAAGAATGTAGACAGGTATTCATTTTGTTCTCAATAAATGTGGCATGTTTGACATTCGTGAATTTTCTCACATCCTAAGAAAAAAAAATCCCTGACGGATAAAACGTGCGTTACTACAGAATTTTTGGAAACACATCCTGATATTTTGTGTGTAAAATATAGAGATGTTTGCTGAGAACACTTCCTTCGTGATTTCTTAAATCTCTTGTCACCACTAATGCTTTCACTGCTAATGAAATCATTTTGTAACACACGAGTTAATTTTGGAACATTTTGAGATTCGTATTCCTAGCACGCAGCGTTCACGCGTTGTTTTCGAAAGCAACGTTTTAAATAGGAGGCTTCTGTAAATATTTTTTTATGTTTATCTAACACCTGAAAGATATACCACGGCTGCCAATTTCTTTGTAATTTATATTGTCTGATTTTAGGGAGCAAGACTTTTGAATGGGAGGTCGAAATGATTTAAAATGATCGCGATGAAATCTCGAAGTTATTGAACAAATTGCAAATAAACAGAATTAAAAAATCTTGTAGTCCTATTGCAAAAAGCTGCCATGGGAAGGTCCTTGAATTTGATGACATAACTTCGAACACGTTCTATGAATGTCATTGTCTGAAAGAAATGTTAAAAGTGAATATTGTCTCATTTTAGTTCGCAATTTGTCTCTGGACGTTTCTTCAGTCTCATTTTTTTGCGATACTTAAGTCAACAAACACTTCCTAGCAGAGAGTCCAACTATTTTTAGCACTGAATCATATGATGTCCGACTTCGAGGCAACGCGAATCACTTCCAGAGGAAAGGCGAATACATAACCACCTCCCACATCCCATCAAAACAGTAAATGGGAAAGTTTGCACTCGTATAATACAAAATTAATATGAAATATGTACATGGTTGCGTTAATGTGAAAACGCATTGTTTTACAAAAATTCTAATAATTGTAATGCCCCTAACATAATTAATAACGTATTTGGTTCGATACGATTGGAAAACTGTGATTCCTCCTTGGCAACTGCACACTCTCTTTGTAATCAGGCACGTATCCATGGGGAGGGAAATGAGGAAATTTCCCACGTAAAATTTTTCCTGTCACGAAACTTCCATGCAAAAACATTTTCAGATAATCATTAAAACCAATAATATCATATTGCAGCAAGAGTGGCATTTTACATAATATATTGTTACCTTTCGAACAAAACAATTTGAATTTCCGCTCCCAAAATTTGTCTTTGAATCCGCCCCTCTTTTAATCTGGCTGCTTTAGGCAAATCTGTATAGACCGTCGTCTGTTGACGATCCTGTACCCAGACCAAGGGATGAGAGGTAACCATTACCCTAGCCACGGATACTTTAGATTATTTTACTTAATTTGTGTGGGTAAAGAACAATATAAAGCAGGGATGATGAGGCATTTTACCTTATAAGATTTGTTCGTTGTTTGTAGTCATCAGTAAACTAAAAGACAATATTTATAATGCATTATTTTCGTAGAATGTAGATTATGCGTGGTAATAATCGTCAAATAAATTTCGAAATAGCAATGATTACTCCTACAAAAAATCCATTACCAATTAAAAATCACATATTCTGCCGTTTGAATGATCTTTGGAACGCCGCATCGAAGATGGCCGAAACGTCGGCATTACAGCCTTCGATGCGGCGTCACCCGGTCAGCCAAAAACATTCATATGACTGTGGCCGGGATATCACTTAACTTGCTATTTCTGTCACCATAATGTTTATTTTTGTTTGTCTATTCCAGCGCATATTTAAAATCTTAACACGACTGTGTATGCACCCATACGTCGTAAGAGTACGTAGGAATATGACGAATATGTTGTCACAACGAATCAATTAAGAACCGAACAGAATTAGAAATAGTTACAAATATCAGCCGTAAAATAATAATGGATTTTTATTCAATATCGATGATCAATATTTGATTTTTTTAAATTCAGGTAGCATCAACATCTAGGTCGTTGGCGACGACTGTTGGATTTACCGTTACGGTTTCTGTGAAAATGACAAGATGTGGTGATGATAGGGGGTGCAAGGACGAACACAAATACAACCACGCCCGAGGCAGGACTCGTACCGGCAATCTTTCGGACCGAGATCGCTATGGCACAACTGCCTTAACTGGCAGTAGGCGTCTGGAGTAGTACTGGATCGGCGTTGAAATCATTATTGCGTCAGTTTAATTAATCGCGTTCTTCGATTAATCTATTTCGAATGACGGTTATTCGAACAGAGTGTCATTTGCCTTCGCTCGTGGGCGAAGCAGAGTACAGCACGTGGCGGGGCGGGCGGGGCGGCGTGCAGCGCGAGTGGCCGCCCCGTGGTTCACTGTGCGTCGGCTAGCCACCCGCCCCTGCCCATCTAGGGTCATGATCTCGCGAACAGAACGTTCATGTTTTTATTCGTTGCGGTTTAGGGGGATTCCAACTACTAGGGTCATTAAGGCCCGTGAGTGCCCAACTAATGGGGAGATGATAGCAGTAATGGAGAAACGGGAGAACCCGGAAAAAAAACTGCCACTCATCCGCTTTTTCCGCCGCAAATCCCTCATGAATTTTCACCCTGCAAAGGTGTAAGTGTAAGACAGATTATCCTTTTATAAAATTTTCAAAACTTATAAGAAGTTGTTTTTCACTTATATTTCACTTTTTTATTTTTGTGTTGTACAACGTTTCGACGACGTTTTGTTAATAGAGATCGATAATTTATAAATATTAAATCTAATAGTTAAAAATAGAATAAAATGTGTCTAGCCATTTCAAAGTGAGTCATGCGCCCTTGGGTGTACTTTATTATGAAGCCAGTACCGCCTTATGACCGTACTGGAATCTGTGAATGATTGCACAAGGGTATCTAGGGATCAAACGCGGGTCCCGACATCCGAAGATGTATCCGTGAGACATTATCTCACACCAGAGCCCTAAATCCACCACAGCTCTGTCCTGACCTGGACCTGCGCCACAATGAGAATTGCATATGACGCATCTCCCAGTAGCGCAGTCAATAAGTATGCAAAACTCAAACGGCACGTTGTGGATCCTAGGTGATATCCTATTTTAAAAGTGATTTGACAGGAATTATTGATTTTCGGTTCCAATCAGTATCCATATGTCTTAAATTACGGATACTACCTCCCAGGAAGGAATCCAAAGAGTATTTGAGGGAGATGGCAATTTAATTTCAGACCCTCCCCAAAATATATTTCTTAAATAGTAAAAATTTTAAAATGGCCATCTTGAAATAAAAATGTGTGTATTCATGACAGGACTACTTATTTGATCATGATCTGGGGAGGCATCCATGATTCTCTTTGGATTCGCCAGTGATATCACTCCATTGTTCTATTACATTCACCCTATTTTTTCTCTAAAACTGTTTCGTTCTTATTAAATCGTCATTTCAGTGGTGTGTCCGAAGTCTTGTCTCGTTCTGTTGGAACCATTAAACATAATTTGTCAGCAACATCAGTTTACCGTCACTTCCCAATCTCCGTTGTCTCGCGCAGCCGCTTTCCCTTTCAGTGACGTACTTCAAGTAAATGACAGTTCCCAGCGGAATCACCCAGCGTCAGAGAAATCGTAACTAATAAGCCGACATATAAAAAAAAGTACATTTAATTTATCAACGTTAAAATCGATAAAAAATTATTGTAAACTTGATTAGCAGAAGTAAATTATGTGAAGGCGACGTTCATGTATTTAGTTTTACTGCAATATGCTTACAGCAAATGTCAAATTTGATGACAAAGGGGGTCTGTTGAAAAGTGAATTTCAAAACACTTAAAACTTGCGTAGCCTCGCGCCTCCGGTGGCAAGTACTTTCATGTTGACTAAGTTTGGGTTCTACTCAAGTGCGACTCAGAGCTTTACATGAAAATGTACCAAAAGAAGTTTTTTTTTTCTGAGTCGCTATGTTTGTAGGTTATAATCACCAATGTAACGAAAAACTATAGTCAGTATAAATAAATCATTAAGAATTCACGTTGAGCCCGAAATGCAGTACTGTAATTCACAGCATTTCAGCACTGAAGATGCCTTAAAACTTCCCAAAACATTTTTCCCCAAGAATTCTCCCAGAAGTTTCTACAAAGATTCGGCTAAAAATCAAGTCGGTCGATTTGTCTCGTCGAGAGCAATCGAATGTGACCGCCTCTGAAGGTAGAACTCCTCAAAACGCGTTTTAGATGCTTGATCCTCTCTTGGCAACACGTTTTTCGATAATTCACAACAATATTACGTTTAATTATCGTCAAATCGAATAATAAAGACGTAACAATTCATGTAAATGCTAGAAAGAGAATAGCCTATAGTATTTCTCAGTGTTTCATCAATATTCCCGTGAGTGCATTGAAACCGTCAAAAACAAGTGATTTTATAGAATTCTTCCAGAATATCCTAAAGGAAACCGGCTAAGAATTGTGCGATTTGATTTGTCTTGCCCAAAGGAATCGAATGAGCTATTGATTACCTTTGTAGGTACCGTAAATTAGCCAATAGGCGTTTTAGTTGCTTAAAAAACTTGCTAAAAATCTTCATTATCTGGGCTACTCTTCTAGAGTTCAGTAGAAAATATAGTTATTCAAGTTATCGTTCTCCATGTTGTCGCGGCAGAAGTATGTTTCTTCACGAAGGACATGATGAGGGTTAAGAGCCTAAATCTATAGATGATTTGCCTTTGAAAATAGATTTTATTACATCGGAGCGAATATTTTGTTAACAATTCTTGCCAAAAACGCTAATTTATTTCTATATTCTGAATTCAATTCGTTTAGGGTGAGGATTCCAGAATTAAGAAAACGTGCACAGAATACACTTCTCCCCGTAGCACATCACACAATTTTTAACTTAAAAAAAAGAAAGTAGAATAATTCAAACTATTGAGTTCCAAGAGAACTTGAAATTAACCAAGTTCTTTTTACTTTTTTCCTTATGTTGTTTGTCATGGATGTTGTCCAAGTAACGAACTTCCTGGATCAGTTTCTACCGGATTTTTCTGCTTTCATTGGGATAGGAAAGGAATAGGACTCGTGCACAGACAAGACGACGACAGCGTCGAATGAAGCAAAGCCATAAACCGTGTGCGTAGTAACAGAGAAAAAGAGATGTGCACTTGAAATATAAAAGTGCCCATAAATACCATGTCATCAACAATGTAATTACATTTTCAGGAATTACTTTTTCGACTAATTTTAAAATTATTAATACTATGGCGGTATTGTTTTATTATACATAGGATAGCTGGTGAGTTAGATATCTTACAATAGCTAAAGATAAGGCGTTGCCTGGTATCAAAATTTATTTAAGCTATTAAATATTGGAGATTAAATATATTTTGATTACTGACAGCACCTTATCTTTGTTTCATTGGTTGAAAGATACGTTAAATATGAATAAGCTATTAAATGTAAATCATTATACAAATGCGCTGTGAAAAATTTTAGGTTCGTTAAACAATTGTTAAGGAAGCTTTGCTTACAAACAACTCAATAATGTGGTTCTACTAAAAGTCGCCAAGATTTGTATGTCTCTTAAATGAATTCCAAGCCAATGGTATTTGAATGCCATTCAATTGTTTCCAGTCGGAATCCCATTTGTCGCTAGACTGAAGCTACCAGGACGAGATAATACCCGTATCTATGTCCAATAACGAGGCTTGCAAATTTCTGCTATTAAGGGAGACTGAATAGCTGATCGTCAGGTTCGTTTCTGGCGTACGGTTATTACGAATACTCGCCCACAAGTAAATTACAAGGTGTAGATGTTGCCTTGTATTAATGATATTCATTCATCAAATTTATCTAATAAATTAGGTTAGTTTGCTCCAAATAGTATGAGTGCCATTAAGAGTTCAATTGGCAATATTTGTGCTGGTTGCTTCCATCAATAAAGTTATGAAAAAAATTGATCACTTGAAGTTCTTAGGGTAGTTTATATTCTACTCGCAAGTATTTTGTTTTCCTGATAGAGAAGAAGTGTTACCAATAACATGTTTTCCTTATTACCATCGAGAGAAAACCTCGAACACATTCACGAGTGAGTATAATAAACATAAAATTAGAGAGTTAATGTAAAATAGTAATGCATCGAAATATTGCAGCGAAATTACTGTCGTCAACATAATTCCATCCTAGTGTCGATCATTGGTGTTCACAGACCTGTGATCTCTATAGACCTTGACAGGCAAAGCTCTGGATCACTGCACAACAGCCCTCCCATATCAGCTAGTTATAATGATAGTTGAACGCCATCTGTTAATAAGCACACTGTGGATGAACAGTGTCATCTGTCATCCTGCCAAGTTTCTCTTTGATTCTACTGGAAACCTTGAGATCGTTGATGCAATGTGGTTTTCAGCAAAACGGATGCAAATCAAGAGTAAGAGTGGTAGAGAGAGAGAGAGAGAGAGAGAGAGAGAGAGGGGGGGGGGAGGAAATACTGGTCGAGGTAGGAAATATTAAATAGTCGACTATATCAAAACTAGAAGATAGTAGTAAATAATATGAATGTAATTATGATTCAAAATTTTCAAAGACGTTTGGCATGGATGCTGCATGATTCTTATTTTCTTTAATATATGCTTTGAATGTATGTTGAAAATGCGTTTCAATTAGAGAAGAGGTGCAAGGGAAAGGTAGATGAATGAATGTGTAGATGATAGAATGATGAAATACATCTCCGTCGTGGTTGGAGCGTTATTGTAAATTTGCCATCAAAGAACGGCTTCTTGAATAGTTGTTATGAATTCTAGCTGTTACTAATATTTCATATTAATGATATATACTGGCCATCTTAATTGCCTGGTTCGACTAAATGGTGATATGAAGCAGCAAGTGAAGTTCAATTCAACAGAACAACTGGGCCCCTAGCCTCAAAAGCGTGCACTGAACTAAACTGCTGTAATGCAACCGAAACAGCGATTTGAAAAATTAATGGCTCTTGTAAGTAGACTGTGTTATATAACTATTTATTATATTTTTGTGTACTAATTTTCTCCAAAAAACATTTTCTCATCATCATAAATGTGAGATATAACGCCAGTCTGTGGTCGCGATAGATAAAGCCTCCTCGGACACTGCCAAGTGTGACGTCTACGGCTAGGCCCAGCCACAGCTCTCTCCTCGAGCGGGCTCTTTTGATGGCCCTTGCTCTGGTTCAGGACAGTAAATGAAATATCACAGCATATATTTTGTTGTGCTCTCATTTTACTTGTTGCGAAAGAGTGATTGTTATATTGTACAATAAAAAGAAATGAATAGTTCGTTTGCCGATGCAAATACGTTATCTACTCGGAAGCAAACATTTCTAGTGTTCCTACGGTGCTAACCACGCTTTGTTGATTCCTTCATTCGTAATGGAATGTAGTACG